TTGGCTTGTTTTACAACGTCGTTGCCAAGCGACGAAAACCCAACCCCGATGGCAAACACCGACCGCCTGGGAGAGATGTATATATATAATGCGGTCCTATTAGTCCTGCAAGCATGGAATGAACCTAGGTGTTGGATGGAGCTTTTGGGCGGCAGTTGCGGGTGGAGAAAACTTTTTTCGTTGGCGAACTCTTCGTCCTGGCACCATGTTTGTTTTCCGTTTGCATAGCGTACAAAACAGATAACGACAGCAGAAGGAAGACAGCCCGTTGCGAGATACACCACACAGATCAATACCCCGGTGGAAGGGCTGTGCTTACTGGTCGATTGAGGGACACATAGCCGGAGACAGTGAACTGACTGGATGTCATGCCGCGTGGCACCTGGCGTTTGAATCCGACATGCCTACAACGAACACAAAAAAAAATGTTCGGCCTGCACATTCATAACAGTCCAATAACCCGTAAAACAGCCAAATTCCTGTTTTTGTCATGTGGCGTTGCAGCAGATACACCACACAGATCAATACCCCGGTGGAAGGGCTGTGCTTACTGGTCGATTGAGGGACACATAGCCGGAGACAGTGAACTGACTGGATGTCATGCCGCGTGGCACCTGGCGTTTGAATCCGACATGCCTACAACGAACACAAAAAAAAATGTTCGGCCTGCACATTCATAACAGTCCAATAACCCGTAAAACAGCCAAATTCCTGTTATTGTCATGTGGCGTTACAGCAGTTGCATGTGCGGCATGAGGAGCACCCACACAGACAATCCATCGAGTGGGATCTCTACAGCAGCAACTTCGGAAAAACCGTTCGGTCACCGGACTCCAGGTCTTGAGTTAATTATCCCGGCCGACACACTGTCAACAACCCCGACCGAAAATCGTTCGGGAGATCGTTCCGGTTGGAGAGGATGCGGGAGAGGCGGCTCGTCCGCGCGCGTGGAGACAGAGAGGCAGACAGAGATTTCTCGAAGAAAAGACACCACCAGCATAACAAACAAATCAGTCCATCAGGTCGGAGCAACAGTTTTCGCCCTCACGAGACAGCAGAGTTGTAGAGCCGAGGAGAGACTAAACGCCTGATACACGCCACCTTCCTGCACGCGCCTACCAACATGGTTTCAACTGGCGAAAGTGAGTGCAATTATCTGCCTTCACCGTAGCATCATATGTTGTAGGTCGGCGCGTGCTCTCGTCAAGTCGATGATCCGCCGTATCCGGAAGGTAAGAGTACTAGTAGTCTACTGCTGCTTTCTGTGTAGTCAAGAGACTTAGCGAGAGAATGGCATGTCAGAATTGATTAATGATCTCAACGTGCGACGAAAACCAATCAATCTAGACTAGCTGCCAGGCTTGACGACATCATGGATGGATGGTCGTTGACACACATCGCCCGCCCGTGAAAGAGGCAGATGGCTTCGTAGTCTACATAGCCTAGATAGATAGCCAGGCAGCGAAGACAGTATCATGAATGAAGCATCCATGTTGATAACGCGTTGTTAGTATATTCAGTTCCCCACCCCCGTAATAAAGACGGTGCGCCGTATTCCAGCCGGAGAGAAATCATGCGCATGACATGCGTCAGCTTGACAACAGAGGTGCGGCGGGTAGGGTAAAACAGCTTTCTCTCTCTCTCTCTCTCTCTCTCTCTCTCTCTCTCTGCACGTCAATCTGCGTTGTTGATAGGCATCGCTCAATTAGAGTTGGTTGTGCCCCATAGTCTATGTGAACGAAAACAGCAGGAGGATCCGGTGATATCGTGCATCACCAGACACCGCTTCGTCTGGGAGAGAGAGTGAAATTCTGCAGCAAACAGCAAATAACATCATCAGAAGAGCACTCGGACTTGGCGGGGATTCCGAAAAACCGGCACATCTTTGTACATCATCTAGACTATCTACTTTTGTGGTGGGCAAAGAAAGAGTTGTCTCTAGCTCGCCCGGGAGTCTTCAACTGAAGCCCTATTCCCCCCCTCTGTGGGAATCAGTGGGAATCTATTTACGTACATACATCGTCAATACATCCCTTGCACATCTACACCAGATGATCTACGCATCAGATCTACGACGTACGTACGTAGTCAGTGGCAGCGACGACGTAGACCAAGTCCAAGTAGTCGAGGTCTAGCCTGCAATCTACGGCAGTTAGACGGTATATAGATAGTCTAGACTAGTCTATGCTTTTGTCTCCTTCTTTCGAACGAACGAACGAACGAAGTGTTTTCGTATGTCCTTTTCTAAACAAAGATAGATGTCTACTGCACCGATTGTGCTGCATCCACTATTGATCCACACGCTAGGTACAGTAGGCACAATGCATACAGTCGGATCCGGAGTGCAGACATTTAGAAGTAATGTACGCATACACACAAAACACACCACCACCCAAAGAAAAGCGGCGAAATACGGAATCCCGCGGTCCCGCGGCCCGCGGGCGGAAAACACTATTCCCCGCCGACGAATTGTGCCCACACGCCCACACCCGACATAGTCTTTAACCTTCAGCTTTACGCTGTTTATCTTTCTCGTGTTTTAGTTGAATGGACAATATTCAAGTTTACCGATCCTCCAATATTCGGGCTGCAATAATCAATGGAAAAACTCATGTTTGCCAGTGTTTTCTCATCCTTCATAGTCTACCGGTCGGTGCCCCTCCACGTGTGGTTTGCGACGATGACGACATTATTCCCATAGACCCATAAAACCATACAGCAGCGCTAGCATGCACCACTGGCACGGTTGCATGGAGGGGTCGAAATTGCCCCGGATTCGCTGGCACTCAACTGCCACCCTAGCTTGCGAGTCATCGCACACCCCTGTGCGGTGGCCCCGGACCCTCTGTGCGGAGGAAGCCGAAATAAATCATCGGTCGGAGTAGTCTATAGACGAAAATAGCCATTTTTTATCACACCGGGTCCCGATGACTTCCAGACCGTGCCATGACCCGCAACCTCACGGTAATACGGTAATATTGACTTCAACTACAGTGTATGACTAGCTCTAAGACGCAAGGATTCACTGTTATTATTGCGCTCTCAAAGCAAGACGTCTTCGTGCAGTACATCCATCTCAGTCCGTCACAATTTTTTTCGTCTATTGTCGCCCACTGAAGCGCGCTTCAGTCTCCGCATCACAGCGCCCCTGTCGTCGGCTCGAGACTCCAAAGAATGGCGAATCGAGTGAAGCAACGAAGAAAGTCACGCAACCATTGTATTTTCAATTGGCGACTGCCATAAATTGTCGAATGTGGAATGTTCGTAGACCCTTCCATACATTGAATGGTGTCTGTCATGTGGCATCTGGCAACCTAAACCGTTCTGTCCCATATTTTTTGTTGAGTCACAGAATGCCCAACCAACCACAGTTTTTTCTTAGTCTGTCATGTGACGGCACTATTCATAACATAATCCAAAAAACACAGATAGATGGTCGAAAGCAGAAGACGTTGGTTCGAATTCCGTTATGTCGCAATCATCACATAAGCCGGAACCTCATTTCCAGCTTTCTTTGTGCCCTTGGTATGCATGTCATGGTGCGGCCCACACATCCTTCAACCAACGCACCACCATGAGTCATGAACACCATCGACTTGAGCGCAGATGTTTCCATCTTAATCATGAGGACGAGGGCGCCTGTGGTGCCCGAAGTCGGGGCCGGCGCCCTCGTACTGTATGTACTGCATTCCCCAGGCAGGATAGAGCGGTATCTTCCGTCCCTATGGGTAGTAGGCAGGCTAGCAACACCGTTTGCCAGCTTGCGTATCTTACTGAAAAGGTGCGCGAGAACTACCCCCCTCCCCCCTCCCTAGCAATGTCTACCAACACGAATGAATTTCGAAGTAATATCACCGCGCGATCGGGTGTTGCGGTGTTCTGTTTGCTGCATCCTACGTGTTGACTGAGCATGCTACCCCCCCCCCCCC